CACTTATTTTCAAACATGATTTTGATAATACTACTTTCAAACGTATAATTTCGCAGAAACCCATTAACAATAAGTGACTGAGTAAAAAAAAAACACACACACACACGCACGCACGCACGCACGCACAGCACTTTGAGTTACAACAACTGATGTCAAACTAAAAAAAATACAACGCTAACATTTGAGCTGATTCACTTCTGGCCCAATCAAAACTTCTTTTGTCTGATCTGGAAAGCCTTAAAATTTATGACCAAAGATTATTTTAATGAGCGCTTCAACAATTTCATGATTGGCACACATTAGCCCGCGGTGTTTGGTTTCGCGTTTGCTAAAGTAGAGTTAAGTCTGCAAATTTGGTTTTAGGAAAAATTGAAGTAGGCCAAAACTAAAGTTTGTCAAAGCTGATGTTCGTCAAGCAGACACATGGTGATCATTGCTTCTTTACTAATCATATTTTTGGGCTTAAATTTGGTTTAGAGTTATTTAGTTTTGAAGTTCTTTACCGTGATTTTGAAAATTGTATAATCTCAATTAGATCTATCAAGATAGGTCAACTCATTCCTTAAAGATTTAAGCTCATAAGCTCTTGTACCAGCGTTCCTCATTTTTTCCAAGCTCAACCTGATTGACAGGGTCAAGCCTGCATATATATTTTTTTAATTCAAGTTTCTAATTATAATAACGCATATATAACACTATTTGTTTAAGATTAAAAAATAAATATTTTTTTTACTAATTTAGAAATTTTATATAAAAAATATTTTATAAAAATTTTATAAAAAAATTATTTTATGTTTGACTGCAATAAAATAAAGTTATTATTAGTTACTTCTTCCGTTCACAAATGTAAGACATTTCTAACTGAATCTCATCCCTCAATAAAGTAGTTATCTATTTTTCAACTAATCTTATCTTTTCATATTATCCATATTAAATACCCTATAATAAATATAAATTCATTATTAATAGATGCATTTTTTAAAAAAAGCAATAATTACACTTCAAAATACTAAAAATGTTTTACATTTTTAAACACTCAAGTTCTTAAAAAATGCCTTACATTTTTTAACAGAGGGAATAGTTATTTTTAAATTCTATAATATCTGTTTTATAAAATAATTTATTATCTTATTATTATAAAATTTTATAATATCATGGTGTATCTCATTTCCTTAAAATATTATATCTCATCTATTGCATTAGGGGCTGTTTGTTTTAGCCTATTTTATAAAAAAAATTACTTATTTTTTTAAAATTTATTTTGTGATTTTTCTTGTGTCTGGGAAAAAAAAATAAAACTTGGATATTTGAATAATCAGTCAAAGTCAAGGACAGAAGAAAAAGTCAGTGCACGTATTTTCAAACACGATGATTTTGATAACTAATGCGTACCATTTTTCAAACGTATAATTTTAAAATTGGGTTTCAAGAACATGCCTTCCTTTGACTTGCTTAGAACAGATAATTATTCGAGTAGATTAAATTTATTTAGTTTGATCTCAATTTAAATTAAACTTATTTAAATTAAATTTAAACTATTCTATCTTATTTAATAAGTTTATATAATTAAGTTTGGCCATAATAACTTCAGATTTTAGGCTTATTTGGCTAGCTCCAAATATTCAAATTTTTTAAAAAATATTATTTTTTATTTTTTGAACCACTTTTAATTTTTAAATGATTATATTAAATATAAAATATTATTTTAATTTAAAAAAATAAAAAAAATAATTTATTAACTTTATACTTAAGTAATTATGTTATTGTTTTGTTGTATTATGTGTAGTTTATTCATGAATTTTTTCTTTACTTATAAATTAATATCTTAATTGTTTAAATATTTCTCTTATCATAATTATATAGAAATATTTTATACATTTTAATTAAATTCAATTATTTTAATTTTGGTCAAGTTGATCTCAATTCAATCATGGTTAAACCATTAATTTAAAATAATTTCCTTGATTAGTTTAAAATTTTTAATAACTTTTGGGTAAATTATACTTTTTATTTTTAAGAATATGAGAAAAATAGTCATTATTATATTATATAAAAAAATTATTTCATTATGAATATAATACTATTTTTTGAAATTATTTTTTTTAACTTTTTATATTGTTTAACACCTACATATAAGGAGTATTTACTCTAGTTATTCTTAATTTATAATCAAGTCTGATGTGAATGATAATTAAATAATTGTCTAATAATATTATTCTATTTATTATATTTATTTATTAGTAGAGTTGATAATTCATACATGCCCAAATTTTATTTTTAAAATTATTTTTAATTTAATTTTTACTTTAAAATTAATTATCTTATTTTATAAAAATATAAAATATATTTTTGTAGATACTCAAATGATGTATAGGATCCAAAACTTTTTTAAAAAATAATTGGGTCTTAAAATATAAAAATTAATATTAAAATATATTTTAAATATTATTTTGAGATATTTTATTGATTAAAAATAGTAAAAATATAAATATTTTTATTTTTGTAAAAAATACTATAATAATGCACTCAAATATATGATATTTCAGTATAAAATAATATAAAAATTAATTAATATTTATTATATTTTATATATTTTTTTAAAATATTTTTTTATTCAGGTATTCATGCTTATTCAAGTCAACTCAAATAAGCTGAAATATTAAAAAAATATTATTTTTTCTTGCTCAACCTTGAGAATAAGTTTTGGGTGGCTTCGAGTTGGTTTGTTAAATTTGACCTAAATTATTAGCTTTAAACTTGCTTCATTTCTAGCCCAATCAAAACTTAATTCTGTCTTTATAAAGCCTTAAAAGTGACCGAGATTATTTTAATAAGCTTCAACAATTTCAAATTTGGTTTTGGAACCATTAGTCCGGCTTTGTTTAATTTTGTGCTTGCTAAAACTGTAGTTTAATTCTAGTAAAATTGACTCTGCAAATTAAATTTGGCTTTAGGCAAAATTGAGGTCTATTATGATAATTTTGTTTCTCCAAAAGTATGACATACGTATCTCATCCTCTTACATGGTTGTGATTCCTCTGTGCAAACATTCTATTTTTTCTAAGTTTAACTACTTTTCATTTAGGGATTTGATGGTGAATTAGGGTTCAAATAATTGAGATTGATCTTCTGCCAACATCTTCATTTTGATTTTTTATATAGACAAAAAATAACATTAGCCTCTTCCCATTTATTTGTAATTTAGATGACTTGATTTATATTAATTTTTTTATAAGTTACTAATTTGTAATTTTTGAAGCCTTTTCTACGATTTTCTTAAACAACTAATGATTAAATTAATATACATCATATGAGGAGCGATATTACTCCTTTTTTTATTACATGATGGGTGACATTGTGTCACCTTTAAATTGAGGGTGCTCATTGTGCTGAAAAAAAATTAAAAAATTGAAAGCCAAAATCAACATTTTAACGCCTAAGTTAATAAGTAAATTATACGTACAAATTAAATTTACAATCACAAACATAAATGACTAAAATAATGTATAGGATGATGTCAGCAATAAATTTAATATCTAAATCAAAATAATGTGTGCAGGAAATAGTCACGAGTTCGACCTTTTACTTCCTTGTCCTTTCTTTAAGGTTTTTTGTTTGAATTCAATGCAAAATGACTATGTCATTATTTATTGCTACTTGTAATTTGAGTTCTTAGTGCGGACGAAGAAAGATCATAATGAAAAAGAACACAGACAGACACACACTCTTGTTAAGTGGTTAAGAAAGGACGGAGTCTCAAACGGATTCATTTAGTTCACTATCTAGGTGAATTGGTCCATAACTTAATAACTTGATTTACTTAATCCATGAAATTTTCAAGACAGTTTGTGCGATAACTACATGTTTTTTTGACCAGGAGTTAACTTCTTATATGTACTAGTTTATTTCCCATGCAAAAATCGGCTAAGAAAAATATTAATCCTCATTATCGATATAATAAAGAAAAATATTTTAATTTTGTAAATCACTGTTCAATGAGTCATTGGATTTTGATCAGTTAAGAGCCTGTTTGTAATTAACTTTTCAAATCCAAAAGTTCTTTTGGGCTTTGCAGATTCAGCAAAACTCAACAAGTCCGCCTGAAAAATGTTCAAACTTCAAAGGCATATGATATATACGAGCTTTTGAGATGGCCAAAAAAAAAAAAAAACCCACACACACACGCACGCACACACGCCAGCTTTTGTATTTGCATTTGGGAGTTGGAGCATCAATGAGGTAGTTAAAATTGTAACTACCTTCTTCTTTTCCCATGTTGCCATGCCTTTTATTTATAATTTTTTATTGCATATATTTTCTAATATCTGAAATTTTATAGTATTATTTATATATTTTTCTTATATATATATATATATATATATTATTGAACAGATAAAATATTATATTATTTGTGTATTTTTATAATAAATCAAAATTTATATAACAAAAATTACATATCATAAAACTCGTGTTCTTTTTAATAAGGATAAAGTGCATATTTAATTCTTTAACTTTACATAAGATTTTGTTTAGTTCTTAATTTTATCAAATCAAAATATCATTTTGGCTGGCTACTTTGACCGCCTACTGTCGAGTAATTATTGGATTATCGGATTACTATTGTTAACAACAGCACATGGAAGTATTAATGAAAAAATAGACTAATTCTCATTATTTTTCTTTTAAAAAAATCTTTGGAGACCCAATATTATTTACTATAGTAGTTTTGTATCTTGCCTTTTGCGGTTTGAATGCTACAATCATTTTTCAAAAATTCATTCAAAGATTTTTTTATTTAAATTACAAAATATTCTTAATAAATGACCCCCCTTTTTTTTAATGAATCTGGTTGGATTGGACCAAGCCCATGTGTAGCAGATAATGGAATTGCTCTCCGTCCTTATGAGGTTGGGTTGGTTTGATAAATGGGCTGAAATTTTCAAATAGAATTGGTAGACTCAATAAGTCATTAGGAATGCAAATTCTATTCTGGAAGAATCATTTGACATTCAACAACCGCAAACTGGTGTTCTTTCCTTACAATCCTTAATTAATTTATGAAAAACGAGAATGCATAAAAATAACATCTCTAAACTCAAAAATTTCTATGTACCAGTGCCTGAGAATATATATATATATATATATATCTCAGAACTCAAATACGTGGTAGAATTCACATTACATGTTAATTAAAAATGTCAAGACTTAAGTTTAAGAGTCCTTCCACTACAAATGACTAGTGACCATGATCCAGAGCCGTGGTAGGGGAACCGCGGGGTACAGTAGGTGAGCTTGACTGCAAATTAAACAAAACATCATCAGCTCACACATTCATTTAAATGAATTCCCTGTTTTTTTATTCTGTTGAGGGTATGAAATGACAGAGATTGTCAAAATGAGACCGAAACAGTAAGGTAGGTTCCGATTCTGCGCAAACCTGAAGAAGCTTCAGTGGACAGGACAGCGATAAGAATGGAGAGGAATAATATTCTTCTCTTTCTTCCTATTTGGTTTCCCGTCCTTGCCAATCATCATACACCTCCGATTTATATACTCATTATCACACTAATTTATTCAGTGTACATAATTTGGCCAATAACAATTGAGAGAGCCAACGTCGTTGTTACACGTAAAACACAAGATTCAAATGAAAATTAGACCGCCCCAATATTTGAACCTCACAAATAATATTTTTTAATAATTTTAAAAAATAAAAAAGCTAAAGAGGGATCTTTGAATTAATTGTGAGAAGATATCACTACTAAAAAGTACTTAATCACAATAACGTTAATAAGTATTTATGAAGAATAGAGTGCTTTTTTTTTTTAACTTTTTTGTTTTTTAAAAAAGTCATTTAATACCCAATACTATTATTTACTAACATGGATTTCGGTACGTAGGTTGTCCCAGGAGAAAAATTAAATTCCAGCGGTATCGAGATTAATTAAAGAGCTGTAATGGGTCATTTCAAATCCGTTTTATTAATTTCTTGTTTCAGTCCTTCATTCTAATTACAATTTTTAAGGGATCTAATTTGTTTCTTCATTAGGTGTGATTCTCCCAAGATTTAATCGCGCACAATTTCAAAATATTCCACAGAGGAAACCAGCTGGCAGAGTAGGATCAGTTACAATTATAGCGTTGACTATATATATTCCACAGCCCTCGTAGTGACCGAGGCACATACAATTGAGGGTATTAAATTTATGAGGAGCAGGTAGAAATTCTAAAAACTTATTCTCATTGATACAATACTTTTAAATCCACTGGACCTAAACTAAATATATTTAAATTTTAAAAATTTGAGTGTTTTTATTTTTCACTTAAATCTAATAGATTTTAAATTTTGAATCCATTATATTTAAATTTAAATTATTTTTATAAAAATATCATTTTAATTTTTCTTTTTTATTATTGTTTTACAAAGTGTATTGGCCCACTCATGAGAATTTAGAGAAGAATGATTACGGTGTTGAATATTACAATGAAGAAGTTACATAAGTTTCCCTGTAAAATTGAAGACCAGCTTCTGCAATTTACTCTCTCTGCATGTAAGGAAAGAATAATAGAGACGTGATCATGTGAGAAAACATAGATCCTTTATTAATTGTGTTGATCATTCCCAAAAAATGTTAGCTATACTTCGGTGGTGGAGGTGGTCGTGCTGGAGGTGGTTTGAAAATTGGTGATTTACGCAGAGACCCTTTTGGTGGAGGTGGTGTTCTTGGCAAAGATCCAGCCAGTTTCCTCATCGTCATGCCTGCATATGTATGTGTGTCTGTGTTAAGGAATAGGGAGTGACAGCTCCGAAATAAGAACAGCGTAAAGGTTTAAGTTTATAATTGAGTCATTTCTATATAGTAGTTGGTAAGGTAAACATTATCTGAGAGGAGATTTCATACACATCAACTTAGTATAAGTCTGCTTACATTTGAACATCCTGGCAATACATATTTAATATGGATCCCATATCATTATTATTAAGGTGAGTACGACCAATTTTGCGTCTTCCAAATTGGGGAACTACAAAATGACTGTATTATGTAAAGTATAAGATTGTATAACAAATACAGAAACATACCTGCATTAACGTTGGGGCACTGCAAGAAAAAAGAGGAAACGATAACTAGAAGAGCCATCAGAAAACGGTAAAGAGAAGACACGCCCATCGATCTCTATTCTTCTTAGTTATGGATATGCTAATCCTTGCTAGCAGATAGCTTTAGCTATTTGCTTCGATGCGCTCAAATTTATAAAGTTTTCAAAGTAGATACTTACATCAACTTGTATTAGAATAATCATTTGTGAACTTGTGCATTGTTTTCAAACATGTAACTTCACAGAAAAAGGCCCAGTAATGTTGATGTTTGACGTGACCTAGATATAGAATATCAATGGTGGGCATATATAGCAGTATTAGTCAGCGACAACGCGCGCGTTTTGATTCTTACACACCAATCATGTTTCATTTTCTGTTCCTAGTCAATAATGAGTTCTGTATTTATTATGAAAATGAAGGCAGGTCAAACAATGCTAGCAGAAAAATCGAAAATATTGTTGGGTAGGTGTAAAGGTGCGGGAAGGTTAACTTTAGTCTTCTAATTGATTACAGTTTTGGTTGCGATTGCAATGCATAGCGTAGTTGTGATATACTATCTCCTTCATTTCAATGATTAATAAAGATATTAAATTGCAATAATTAGGAAGAAAGATATTAGATAGCTTGATACATGCAAATTATCTCAACGCCGGATAAAATCTAGTTTCTCTGCTCATTTTAAATTTGGATATACTAAAAATAAAAATTTAATGGTCCACGTAAATAATGAAAAATGTAATGGAAAACAAATATATTATACCAAAAATACCCATTATTTGATATGTATATAGTTAAATAATATATATTTAATTTTTTATGTAAGATTATAAATTCATTTCAAACCAATTGATAAGAAAATGAACACAATTAGCACTAAGAAAAATATGAGGTCATTGACTTGAGTTTTGGGAAGGCACACTTGAATCCTTAGCTCGAATTCATCACCTCACATTTCTGTGTTCACTTCTTTACTAATAAAGTTAAAATGAATTTCTTCTTTTGATATAAAAAATATATATCAAACAATATATTATTAAAAAATATACGAACTAGCTATTCGAATGCTTGGAAGGCTTGAGAATTGAAGTTAAGTAACCAGAAAATTCGGTCAAAAAAAAAAAAAACCTAACCAGGAAATGAGTCTCTTTTCAATTTTTCTAGATTTGAAAACTAAGGCCCGCCAAACCCTTCATCGAATATTAAGCTTCAAAATGCTCGCCATCACTAGACATCTCAATTAGCTGTAAACACACAGATATTAGCCCCATCATTTGACTTATTGACTAGCTCATAAATTCCACGGCCCTTGCAAAGTGTACTAGTCCAGATGATGGAGTTCAATATTACAATGAAGAAATTACGTATATATATGCTCCTTGCACATGTGAAATCCAGATTCTGCTACTCACTCGCTCCATGAAGAAAAGAAACAGATATGCAAACACACACACATCCTTTATTAATTCTCTTGATCATTCTAGAAAATGTCTAGCTATAGTGCGGTGGAGGTGGAGGAAATTGGGTCGGACCCGGCCGTGGTGGCGGTGGAGGGGATTTGAAAGCTGGAACTCTAGGCACAGACCCATTCGGTGGAGGTGGTCTACTTGGCAGAGAACCAGCCAGTTTCCTAATCGTCATACCTGCACATGTAATAGCTCCTGTCATGAATTCTCATTATTTTTTAAACTCTTTTTTCTTTCTTTCAAAATCATGTCAAAACATACATGTAATGGAATGGGAGTAACCACTCGAGAGAAAGATCGTAGGGTAAGGATGTCATAGGTTAATTCAAAGGCTCTTGTTTTATTTAGTGTGAGACTTTATATATCAACTAAAATCTACTCATACTTGAATTATCTAACTATCTATATTTAATCTGATGATAACATATTACAGTCTATTAAGGTGAGTACAATCAATTTTGCGTCTGAACTCTACACACACACAATGATGGTCTAGTATAAGGCTGTAAAAATACAGACGCATACCTGCATTAGCGTTGGGGCACTGCAAGAAAAAAGTGGAAACGATAACTAGAAGAGCCATCAGAAAACGGCATAGAGAAGACACACCCATCGATCTCTATTCTTCTTGTTTATGGATATGGTAATTCTAGTATTAGCTAGCTTTAGCTATTTGCTTCAATGCGCTCAACTTTATAAGTTTTTCAAAGCAAATGTACCTATATCGACTTGGATTTGAATCATTAATCATTTGCGAACTTGTGCATATTTTCAAACATGTGACTTCACAAAAAAGGACCATTATTAACACTGATGTTTGACATAACCTGGCTATAGAATATTAATGGGCATACAGCGCTTTCTTGTACATCAAGCTTGTTTCATTTTCTGTTCCTAGTCAACAACGTGTTCTGTATTTAGCCAGGTCAAACAATGTTTAGCGGAGAAAAATGTTGTTGGCGTGGGCTATCGTGGTCTACAAATTAAATCCATTCATTAAATCCCAGAGATCTTTATATAATACTATAACATAGTCACATTATTCATGAATACTGATTAATATGAATTATTTCTTAAACTTTATATCATACGCCAAACCCACGTGTAATTGAAAAGTAAAATGAAACACAGTTTTGTCAGGTTGAAGCGTGAAGGGATCAAACTCTTCCAGAGTGCATGAATTTTCGAAATTACAGTTTTGGGCGATTGCGATTGCGGTTGCGTCGTTGTGATACACTATCTCTTTCATTCCAATGATTAAGAACGATATTAAGTTACAATGATCGAACATATTAAAAATAGGTTCAATTATATGAAAATTTAGTTATATGTACATCTTTAATTTATGTTAGGAAGTTATTTTTACAAGTAATAATGCACTGGAGCTCCGACTGTCATTATTTTCGTTAATAAAAAAATATAGCGGTAAAATAGAATAATTAAAGCTTGCCACCGCCACGCTTTCGAGCCTTGGCAAGGCACACTTGAATCCCTAAAAGGAACGCAATTATGCGTGCTTTGTGATGTCCAGGGCAATGTTGCTTTGTTTTCTAATAATCTAAGAAGAAAATCTCTTATGGATAACGACTGAAATATGCAACAACAAAAGGATAAAACCTTCGACTGTGATACCATGTTGCATCAGTGAGGCACAGACACTGTTCAACAGTAAGGCTATCCATTAATTTAATCACCTTACATTCGCTGCCCTAGGGCATTATTATTTCATGCCATAATATAATCTCTTGAAGAAATTAAATAACCCATATTTACACGTACGTACACATGCGTTCTGGTCTGGAAATTGAAGGTTCTATATGGGCGGCGGCGGCGGGGCCACTGAAGGGACACGTGGACGTCGGCGAGGAGTCCAAACAGGAGATCGTTTCGGTGGAGGTGGGGCCCTCGGCAGGGCGCCTGCCAGTTTTCTCATGGTCATCCCTGCATAATAGCAATTGTCAATCTCACCACTCCATATATATTTATGATTTATTATAAATACTAAATAACGTGAGTTGATTCATTATTTCTCAAACTCATGTTTAAAAAGTATATGTGGATCCGAATATACATGTTGAAACAGAGTAGAGAGTACGTTTGGTAAAACTGTGATGAGGCATACCTGCAGTATCATTGTGGGAGTGAAAGCAAAGATTGGAGGCCAGAAGAAGAAGCAGCAGCAGCAGCATCAGAAATTGGGACACATACGAAGACACATCCATTGATCTCTCCTCTGGGTGGATATGCTTATGCTATACGTAGCTATATAGCTACTAGCTTCATCGATCTCGTCCAAATTTATGAATGTTTCCAAGCAAATCATGCAAATTAAATCCCATTGACTTCAATATAGATCCGATTGACTTGCCCATGCATGTAACTTCGCAGAAGCACCTCTACGATATGCCTACTTGACTGACTTCACTCAGATTCCATCTTCGGACACCAATGCTTTGACCAATTTTTATTTTTTCATTTTTACTTTTCTATGTTGCTATTTTGAAATAAATAATAAATTTTTCATGAGATTCTCGACCAAACAACTTGCCTAAAACCTTTTTTTATTTTTAAAATATTAATTATTTTTACCAAGTGGGAAAAAATATTAGAACACGCTTTCTCGTTCATGAAACTTCGGTTTTCGTAGTATTATTTTCTTCCATAGCCGACAAGGTGGACAGAATTTAATGATTTATATTAGAAGCAGCCAGCTGGAGAAGCAGAAGTGAGTTGCAAAATTAAATGTCGTGGGGTGGGTGGTCCCAGAATGAAAAGTAAACAATATTCTCCATAGGAGTCGATTGTACTGTCGAGGTTCAGCATTTTCCAGAAGGCTTAGTGTCATATATAATAACACTGGCATTGTAAAATAAATAAAACATAGAAATTAAGTAAAGATTTACTCATAAGTTATAAATAGTATCAAACTCGAACTTTGTTGAAAAATAGTCCAGTCCAGATAAATAGTCCATGTTAATGTTTATGGGCTTTTGTTTTGGGCCTGGATGTTTTTGGTTCCTATCGTACTCGTTCAGATTTTGTCTAGCTTTCTTGATTCTGTTTTGAGGCTATATAAACTTGGGATAGCCCAGGTTTATTGTAGAGAAGAGACGATGGGGCTTTGCCCAGTCATGTGCTTAGTTTTATCATCTAAATTGTTTATTCAGCTCTATGATTTTCCAACAAACTTTACATGAAACATATGTCTAATCTAGTTATAAAAAAAAAAAATGCCCGTTTAAATGGCTCAATTCGTATTTTATTAGAGAAAAACAAGAGAGATCCGAATGTTTACCGATATAACACACTACTGCTATAATATAGCTTAGAGTTTCTGAAATATATCATGCATGTCTTCATGTTTCCATTATTCTTTAAAATTATAAGAAACGTTTACCAAGTTTTACACAAATTAAGGTTTTTTTTTAATTAGAGAGCAGGCATTAACAGACTGAGATTACAAATTAAGAAAATATAATTAAACTGGTTAAAATTAATTATTCTCATTAAATATGTCTCCCTTTTCAATAATTTTTCAAAACTACCCTTCATCAATAAAAAATTATAACATGGGAAAATTAAGAAGAGGGATTAATACTGTTAAAATTTAATATAAAGGATTATAAAAATTAAAATTAGGGTGAAGGACCAAGATAAGTGTAATTAACTATTACAATCTTGGTATAAAATCCGTCAATAATTCCTTAACAGGGCAAAGGAAGTAACTTACTTTATATAACCTCTCAAAAGTATTAGTACTCCGATCCGATGCCCCAGAGGGCTCGCTCGCTTTGTTGCTTGCTAGGATTCCGCCACGCGAAGAAGAAGAATAAATATATCACTGTCTCTCTTGCTCCCTTTGCGCTACCAAATCTGAACCGCCATCTAAAATGATCAGGAGAGGAACAGAACGATCGGGATCCATCCAAAAATCAAGAACCTTTGTTAGAGAGAATGAGAAACTTGCTTGAATATCAGAACAGAGAGCACAGAATGAATTAATGGATGAAGAAAACGAGGATGTGTAAGAAAAACCTGTCAACTGGATTTAAGGGGTATGAATACGAATTGCAAGGAAAGCAGAGTGAACAGAACGATCTGGTAGTAAAGAAACTGTAAGCCAATATAAAATAATGATTCCTGGTGATGACTGATATGATACAAGGAATAGGGAAGAATACGAATGGCTTCAAAGAAATGCGAAAGGAACGATCTCTCGGCTGCAAAACTGGAATGAAATTAAAAAAAAAAAATGGAACACTCTTATATATAAAAACGGAAGTAGTATCTATCCTATGATTCAACATATCCGTACATTCAACGGGTCAAAAACTAGTAAAAAAATTTTAAAAAAATGGTAGCCATGGGAGATGCGATTCTAATAATTGGTAATTGTAATAATTAAGCAACATAATAACTGAATTAATTGGTGATTGTATTCCATGTTTATATATTTTGGTTGAAGAGAATGGTGCTTCTCGCATCAAATATAAAATCAAGTGAATGGTTGATTTGGTCTAGCGATATATGTTCTCAAGAGAGATTTAAAAGGACAAAAGTAAAATCAAGTGCTTTATATCCCTTTGGCCCATTGGTCCAATCAAATTTTGACACTGAAAAAAAATAAAGCACAAGCAAAATTTGATTGGAGAATGGACCCAATGACGATAAAGTACTGGCTTTTAATTTTGTCCTTTTAAAATACACCATTTTGTATGGTCAAAAATCAAGACAAAGCATCTTTCATAGGGGACTGACTAATCATGATGATTGGGTCCAATTGTGAGGGGGCTGAAGAATGATGATACACACTTTGGAACTGATTTAATAATATTTTGGTTTTCAATATATTCTCTCACCTTGTAATGGGTTTTCTTTTTTTTTTTTTTTCCGGTTTGAATTGAAAAAAAAAACAAAAGAATGTTTTATTTATAACATCAAGGACTCACGATTTGCGTCTTAAATTCCGACGCTTAATCAATTGAGAATGGCCGGAAGGTAAACCCAATAATAAATACTTGCATGGAAATTTAGTAATGATGAAACACGTTCTATTATAAATGAGTTTTATTGTAAGTGTACATTTCCTCAGGATTTGTTGAGCTCCGTTTGGAAAAAATGGGGAAATAGAAGAGTCATGGGGAAGAGCAGTGGACATTAATTGCTATCTTGTAAATGGAGAACGCTGGACCATTGGAGTTAATGCTCCCATGAATTTTGAATTATACATTCGAAATTTGAAAATGGAGAGGTCGCCCATGGCAACTGAAGCCATATAATGGGATGCATAATAAATGGAATGGACCAATGAGAGAGAAGAATTAACATGTTAACGAAGTGTGCTGACCAATCAGAGTGGAGAGATTTTCATGTGACCAATCAGAATCATCTTATGAGATTTGTATTAATATATATATAATTAAAAGTTCTTAGGAAAAAATAGATAATTAATACTTTCTCCGTCCCAAATTATAAAGTATTTTGAAGAAATTTCTTCATTCTAAAATATAAAACATTTTGAATAGATTAAAATTTTATTAAATGCATCAATTTTAATATTAACATTTTTCTCTTTATAATTAATTTTTGTCTTTTTTTTCTCTCACACACACACCCCCCTTAACTTTTAAAATTTTATAATAAACCCCCCAACCCTTATATTTATACAGATAGCTTCATATAATTAATTTCATACATTAATTACCTATACATAATTTAAAATTTAGGAGTTATCCGTATATCAATCAAATTTTAAGAGGCTTAAATACACATAAAAATAAAGTCTAAGGTGGTATATAATTCATAGCTAAGGTTATTTGCATAAATTTAGAAGCTCAATGAGATTTATTATTAAGTTTCAAAGGATAAAGGAGTTATTTGTATATGGTTTAAAGTTTAGGGATGTTTTGTGTAGTTTACCCATATATATAATATAAATTTTGGGTTGAAACAAGCAATACAATATTTGTGAATTAATTAATAGTCTTGGCCACGTACATATTGAAACATGCAGAACAATAATCCTTACTTTCTTTTAAATGAATGATTTACAGCAAAACTTGATATATGTTGACGGAGTATGCTCACATCGAATTGAGGGCTTGCGATGGCAACATCATTCAAACAAAACACATAATTAAAGAGATACATTGTCAATGTCGACGTTGGATTCAAATTAATAAATTAATGGTTTATTTTGGTATCTAAAGAAGGCGAAGGAAAAAAAAAGAAATGTTTATTTTAGTATATCTATATATGAAAGGGAAATAGAATCTAATCCACTGGATATATTTTGATCGAGTCAAGCTGCTTTGTGCAATATTTCTTTTATTCTCCTTTCTTTTTTTTATTGGTGGTTAATTTGAAACATGCAGTACAATAGTTGGGTAAATTGTAATCGTTTTTCTTACGTTTCTCTAGCCATGTAAATGTTGAAACATGCATTACGATAATCCTTTTATTTGAAATAACAAATCATACAAAGTATGGTCACACGTAATTGACATGGACTTGTGATGGCAACGTCACTAAATAAAACGCATAATTAAAGAGGTCACTGTCAATATCGACGTTGGATTAATTAGTCAAATGTTCACACCTAATTCACATTTTCGCTTGGACTCCAGATTATATTGAGAGTATCATTTCTCTCTCTGACTCAATGAAGAATGGGAAAATCACGCAAGGTTCCATGTGTCAATTCTAATTCTCAAAAGGTCACTTGAAATGCACAAATAACCCTAAAGCCCCATAAGTTTTAGGGATAATTTCACCAAGGCCTTCAAAATGAATTTATTTCTTGTGAGGGTTCAATGCATGCTGAAAATACATTGCAGGTCTTGAGGTCCAAGTCCTTCAATGTAATATAATTTTATGTATCAATTACCAAAATGTCCTTGCCTATCCCTCTCTCTTTGTTTTTTTTTTTTTAAGTGTCCCTGTCACTGGTTGCCTAAGGCACCTTGCTGGTGGGAGGTTGCTACAGGAGCTCCAACACCAGTGTGGCTGGTCAAACATGGGTAAAACGTGCCAACGGGCCAAGGGCAGATTTTGAACCTTAACCCCTTAATTTCTCAAAATGAAGGAAATCATTGAGCCAATATACATTGTAACCGTAATCTATAGTGCAAATTTAGAATTTTATTTGTCATTGTATATCATGGATGTCTTTTCGTTTATGTCCGAATAATCACTTATAAATATTTAAACATAATTTATTCATACATAAAAATAGTTAGAGAGAATTATCCTAGAGTCCCATGTAAATATTAAAAATACTCTTAAGTGCCTTGAATGGTCAAATTACTTTGAAGTCTCCACAGATTGATGATAAGATATATTTCTTAAAATTTTTATAATTTTTATTTTAATATATATAAAATAAAACATGTAAATTTAAATCGTACAAATTAAAAATCTAGACGATTCAGCACCAAAATCAATTGTGTTTTCTCGTGGTCATCCCTGCATACATGACCAGTCCAGATATATTGTGCATCTGTTGTAAATATTAAATATAGTGACTTGATTCATTATTTCTCGAACTAATGTTTAATTAAAATCATGTTTCCAAGCATGCATGCATATTGGTGATGCTGTACGTTCCTATAACTAGTAGCTCCATCGATCACATCCAAATTTATACGTGCATGTTTCCAAGCAAGTCATGCAAATTAAATCCCATTGACTTTAATTTAGATCCGATTTACTTGCCCATGCATGTAACTTCGCAGAAATGCCTCTACGATATAGCTACTTTAGTGACTTCACTCAGATCACATCTTCTCGCTTAGGACTTTTTAATTGCTTTTACATGGGCAATTTATTTTTTATTAATGGGACACCATTGCTTTTACATGATTTTTATTTTTTACTCTTCTATATTGCTATTTTGAAATAAATAACACGGATAGAGTCCTTGAATTTCCATGACATTATCATCAATATACTTTATAATTGAGGAGACTCCAAAGCATTTCATCAAATTATTAAAGACGACAAATATTATTTAGTTCAATTAGTAAGGAACAGTTACATGTACCTGTGAAGACATTAGTAGCTAGTACACCTCAGTTTAAAAATGTAAATTATTTTTAAACAAATCTCACTTCAATAAATTAGTTGTTTGTCTTCAAACAAACACTGTCTTTCTAAATTTATTTCTATTTAATAGGATATTTTACTTTAAAATAAATATTAAATGATTTATTTACTAGAGGCTCTTTTGGAAAAAAATAATAATTACACTTTGAAATATTAAAAATATCTTATATTTTTTAACATTTAACTTCTCAGCATTTTTTAATAGAAAAAAGTATATAATTTATAAATATTATTTGAGTCGTGAAGCATGTCCTTTATTTATAACCCAACTCATCTAAATTTTTAAAAAATAAGAAAAAAATGAATTTTTAAATAAAAAAATGATTATCAAGTGGCAAAAACATTACAGTACGAAAATAAGTAGAACAAATTTCTTTTGAATTCTTTTAATAAAACAACACATTTTTTTAAAAATTATTTCGAACCGTGCATGGATCTTGCCCAGTCCAACTTTAATAATCTCCAAAAACCTTAAATGGTTAAAGAACATTTTTATCTCTTAACTATTTCTTCAGAAACATTTGATATGTTAAATTTATTTATGGCACATTTTCTTCCATCAATATTAAAAAGCAGTGCGTTCAGCACTCTACCTTTTAAAAAAAATTAACTTTAATAGTTATCTGACACAAAAAAAAAAATGACTCGAAAAATTACAAAACTACACAAATATTATTTTTTATCTATGAAAAAGATCCAATTATCATTTTGATCAGCTACGGGTGATTACTAGATTATCATTGCTAACCACAACACCTGTAAGTATTAATAAGAAATATACTGATTCTTTTTTTTTTAATAAGTCGTTTGACAGCCAATATTATTTACTAACATGGATTTCAGTAGGCTGTCCCCGGAGAACAATTAAATTCCAGTTGGATCACGATTAAAGAGCGGAATACTGGTCATTACAAGTCCGTTTTATTTTACTTGTCTCAATCCTTTATTTTTTTTCTGAAAATATACGGAGTAGGCTAACAACAAGGAATTTTTCTCCAAGGTACTGAATGCAATAATGGATAGACCTCTTCCAACTAAATTATAACATGCACAAAAACATGTAGACATTTGCTTAAGTGATAAAAGCTTACTACTCACACCAATTTTAGTTGGAGTTGCAATCCTTCATCCTAGTTACAATTTTTGAAGGGATCTTATTTCAAAATTTTTTTGTTTTTAAATTTCGCAAAGGAAACTAGCGGGGAGATACG